ATGATATGATATGATATGATATGATATGATATGATATAAAATAACAATTTTTTTTTTTTGGTGTGGGAGCTAGTCAAAATTATTGCAAAACAAGTAAAAATCTGAACTACTAGCCCGTCCTGGCAAGTATAAAATATCCCGTTTGAAAATAATCTTTTCAATCACAAATAAAACAAAGCCTAAAGCTGTTTCACATAGATTGTGAACTCTCTTTTGTAGCGGTGAGCTCTATTAAAGTAGAATCATTTGTCTTGTTCAGCTGTCATGGGATTTTTTGTTGGTGTTTTACTGTAAGGTCAGCATTTGTGATTGGTGTAGAGTGTTGTAATGTAAAATTTCATCTCCAGAATACAGAGAGTCGTGCTTCTATACCTATTCTTAGTCCAGATAGGAGTGTATGTATGAGTGTGTATTTTTCCTGATTCCCAAAAACAGAATTTTTTTTTGTTGTTGTCCATTCGGGGACTGTTATTTAAGTGTTGAATTCTTGAAATATAGTTGCCCGGTGAAAATAAATAACCTTACCGAGTCAAGCACTTTGATGAGAGCAGCAGGTGTAGACTGGCTTGAGAAGAGCTCCTTAGCTACTTGTTCCAGACAAAAAGGAAACTGTTTGGCATGTATTAGAGAATAAATGGTATAATAAGATAGGCAATGTCAGTTCTCTAAAATAAAAGTCGAGAGGAGAGTTGAATTAATGTATTATATGGGCTTGAGGAAGAAGAAGATATGAAGAGCAAGAGGAAATAGCTTAAGACGAAGTGTTTGATACTGTTTTTTTTCCTCCCATGGACAGGTGTTGAAAATTAGCATGTGTGCTAAAACACTTAAGCAAATGCATATGGTTCGTCCAATGTAATAAAAATAAAAGCCCCGGTCCTGCACTCATAGCAAAGCCACACATTAAAGAGCCGCAACTCTGGTCAAATAGTCAACAAAGAAACACATTCAAACACGTGTCCAGTCTACCGGCAAAGTGCTTCTTTTCTTTGGCAGATTGGTCATATGAGTGATGCAGAATGGAGTCTAAAGAAAAGATAAAAATAGATTCTTAAGCAAAACTGCCGGGCTTTAGTCCTATGATGTTAGGCCCCTTATCAAGAACATATTAACTTAGATCCAACTCGAGCCCTAAATACCCACCTGGACTACGTATTAATGAAGTTAGTAATAAATTTAATCAAAATTATGCCAAAATAATTGTCATGGTACACTCTTTAAGATTAAAATAAAGATTCCAAAAGGGGTTTTTTGTAGCAATGCCATAGAACCATTCTGGGTTCATCAAAGTACCTTTCAGTGAACAGTTCTTAAAAGAACCTTTTTTTTATGAGTGTGAAGAACATTTTAACAATCTAAAAACCTTTTCCCACTATAAGGAACCTTTTGTGCAATCTAAAGGTTCTATGGATGTTAAAGTTTCTTCATGGAAGCAAAGATTCTAATAAAGAACTTGAATTTTCAAAAGTAAGCAGCTGTTCATAAAAATTTGCATCATGATTGACAGGATTAGATTAACAAACTCCTCTCAAACATTTCTTTTGCTCTTTTATTTTATTGCTCTTTTATTAGAGATTTAAAAAGTTCTTATTGTTACTGTACAATATGGTTTCTTTATGTAGGTTTACCAAAGTACTGGAGAATGAAAAGTTCTTTGTAAACTTCAAAAGATTTGGGTTGTAAAACACTTTTTAGTTCTTATTAGAGGCAGTAATTTTAAGAGTGTGAGTGATAAAACTCAATGTTCAAATTTTTTTATCATTTGTATTTATTGCCATGGAAGCATTTTATTTCCTGCTGTGCTTTTATTGATGGTTTATTTTGTTTTTTTACTTTGCAGTTTCAGAGTCCCTACTCCTACTCCCCTCCTTTCCGCTTTGGAACGGTTCCAAACGGCAGCACAGAGAGGAACATCCGTAAGAATTACCCTGACATGCACCAGTACATGGTGAAGTACCATCAGTCCGGGGTGAACGATGCGCTGGTCAGCTTGAAGACTGGGTTTGTATAGCACACTCTCACTGTGTTTATCCTGTCAGTCTGAGCAGAATGGGTGAAATAGTGAATGAGTCATTGGTTTTGGTGGCATATAATTGCCTTACACTGAATGCTGGCCGTGCTTCATTAAAATGGCAGTTATCATAAAAGGGATAGTTAACCCAAAAATTACGATTTTGTTATTATTTACTCATTTTTATGTTGCTCCATATGTATGTATGGCTTTCTTTCTTAAGTGGAACACAAACAGTACAAACACAAAAACAAAAGAGTATCCAGGCCATCATCAAGCTACAAAATGTCTTTAAAAATCATACGATAGCTTTGTCTGAGGAACAGACAGCTATTTTAGTATTATATTTCAAATTCAAAAAGTTGTTACGTGCCTTTGTCATTTTTGTAGTTTTCTTTTTAAAAGGTTTTTATTAAGATTTCACAAATTTTTTAAGTGTATGTTTTAATGTTTTTTTTTTTTTTTTTTCAAAAATTTCAGACTGAAATTTATTATAAACTGAACATTATAAAGTCCTCCACCATCATAGTCACAGCCAAATTAAAGGAGCATCATGGGTCATTGTGTTTTTTTTATTTTTTTATCATGCTTATCTCTAGATAAATAAAACCTGGGTTCTAACACAAGGAAGTTTGTGCAGTTTCTGTTTAATGAATATGATAAAAATCAATGATGAACAAATGGCCCTAGTTCATTTTCTGACAATTTTACTAAGACAGTTCAGCTTCATATAATTCAAGAAATCTGAGTATTATAAGGTGCAGTGAAAGAAAAGCAGTAGATCAGCAGTGAGTGTTATTAAACAGCTTTCATTATCTCTCTGAACTGCAGCAAGATTGTGTCGTTGTATATTTGCAGATGGGTACAGCACATGCACAATATTAAATTACCTTACAGTATATTAATAAAGCGTAGATGATTTCCTTTGGAAGTGCGCTGCATTATCATTACACATACTGCAGATCCACCGTTACAAAAGAATAATTGAACAAATCTACTGGATGTCAGCGTGATCCCTAAGTTACAGTGGGTACGGAAAGTATTCAGAGTCTTAGACAAAGGCTTTTCCAACAGAGAGATCGAGTTTGACAAGCAGCCCACCTTGGCTCCAAATGTCAGTTTGTAGGTGGGGTCTAAAGTTGGGTGCACATAGTGCGATTTTTGTCACGTTTTTGCAGTTTATGACAAATTTCAGAGATCATCTGTGATTTCTGTCATGAGCTGGTCATATGATGGCTGTCTAATGAAGAAGCATAAACTTCCTTATGTTACAACTAAGGTTTTATCTATCTATGGTTTAGCATGATAAAAAAATAAAAATAAAAGAAACAAAAGAAAGGAAATGCTCTTTTATGTTTCTTTTGTGCTTTGACACACAATCCTCCTTTCAGCTGTGACCATGATGGGGGAGGTGGAGTTGAGTTTATAATATTACATTTCAGTCTGTTCCCAGTATTGTTACTGGTAGCTAAAATTAAAACTATTAAAAATTGTTTTCATAAAATAAAATAAAATAATAAAACAAAATATAATCCGGACTAAAATAATTATGAATAGTGTTCTGTGCTCTTTCTTTTCACCAGCAAACTGGATGCCTTCATATATGACGCAGCTGTGCTGAACTACATGGCCGGTAGGGATGAGGGGTGTAAACTAGTGACCATTGGTAGTGGCTACATCTTTGCTACCACTGGCTACGGCATCGCCCTGCAGAAAGGGTCGGCCTGGAAGCGCCCGGTGGATCTGGCCATTCTGGCTATTATTGGAGATGGTAAGTGCTTGCATGCCTGGCAGCAGTCCAGAATGCTGTGCATGTTAGAGAGAACAGTTTGAGAGATGTATAAACTCACTGAGATCACAGTAGTGCAAGCACTACTGACCGCTCCATGGAGTCCCCAGCATAGTACTGTAAGGATTTAATTTATTATTAAACATGTATATTTATATACATATGCAGGTAGTGAATCACACCATTCCAGGTTTTGACCTGGATGTTACAATTGTTGTTATTTCCAATATTAATTAAATTTGTCACATAGTGCAAAAAAACAAAAACAAAAAAGAAGGGTGAAAAACAGGACATCCTTAAATCTTTACCCCTAAGAAAACATAGGCACATTATGTGTTAATGATTCATATTCATATTTATGTGTGCCACTGTCTCTATGTTGAAAATATGTCTGTTCCTTATTTGTAAGTCGCTTTCAATAAAAGCTTCTAATAATAATAATTAATAATTAATTAATATAATAGTTTATGCATTTAGCAGACGCTTTTATCCAAAGGGACTTACAGTGCATTCAGGCTATACATTTTTTACCAGTATGTGTGTTCCCTGGAAATCGAACCCACGACCTTTTGCGCTGCTAACGCAATGCTCTACAACTGAGCCACAGGAACAGCTTTTGCTTTATGAATAAATGTATATGTCTACCCTAAAGCGGTTTTATGCTGTGCATTGCTGCATGAACACAACACATTCTAGTTCTGGCTTCAATGTCCATCTGTTAAATTATTTAGCATACTTTTATTTCAAGGTTCTTCCTTGATATCTGCAGTATTTTTCTCTCTCCATACTATATGCTGTGCTTCACAGTAGTGCTATACGCCAGCATGAAAAATGACAGAATTATTCTCCTGGCAGCTGCACCTTGTAGAGAAAGAGAAAAAAGTCTCAGATGGTGCTAACATATGGCTAAAGCTTGAGTGTATAATTTTACTGATTCTCACTTTGACATGTTAGGGCATGGAGAGTTCTGGAACAGGAGGGATATGTCTTTGGACGGTAGTAGTGCGGCCCACTAATGTGTACATGAAATGGTGATTGATGACGTGGGCCTGGGCGTGTGCGTGTGTGTCTCTCCTCAGGTGAGATGGAGGAGTTGGAGGCTCAATGGCTGACTGGGATCTGCCACAATGAGAAAAACGAGGTAATGAGCAGCCAGCTGGATGTGGACAACATGGCTGGAGTGTTCTACATGCTGGCGACTGCCATGGGTCTCAGCCTCATTACCTTTGTCTGGGAGCACCTGTTCTACTGGAGACTCAGATACTGCTTCACTGGCATCTGCTCGGGCAAACCTGGCCTGCTTTTCTCCATCAGCAGGGTAAGCTTCTGTTCATACAATCATCCATACCTGGACATAAAATGAGAAAATCAGGGCAGGATTCCCTGTTACATGTATAAAATGTATTTAGTGCATTTTAAACCCGGTCTGTAATCATATGCTTATAAAAAAAAATATTAAAATAAAATAAAAATAGGGACAAATGAGGCACCAATTATTTTGAGATCAAGTAATAATTGGCTGACACCCCGTATTACCGCAATAGACCACCTAGGGGTTGTGAACCCACTGTTAAAGACCCCTGGTTTTGGTGTTTCCTGAATCAGGCTTGACAGTAGGGACAGCCAATATCTTAATTCTGAGAGTGTCAGTGGTAATCCAGTTAGCGTTTGAGCTCACTCTTTAGCCTGACATGGGCTGTGTTTGAAAGAAAAAGTTTGTCAGAAATTTGATTTTCGACCACTTGTTCCATGGCCAGGGAGCTTAAAATGACAGTGCAGCAGTCTGTTTTGACAGCATGATCTCTAGCACAGCCAAAAGCTCAGTATGTCTTTGTTTTGAACCCTGATGGGTTTGTGTACATGCTGTCAGTGTGAGAATATGGTGCCTCTGATTAGCATCTTTAAAGTAAGGAAATGCTGGTGTTGGAGATCTCAAGCATAACTGATGTAAGTGTTTACTGAGGAAAAGAGATTCATAGAGATATTAAGAGAAAATTATCATTTTTAAAGAAAATGTGCCTTTAAAAATAAATCCCTTGGTAATTTGTTTCTAAATTTGAAGGCATCTGTGTCACTGGCTTTTATCTATGCCCTAATTAAAAACTTCATAAGTGCTCTTTGATCACACTGATGGGTACATTTGCAAGTCACAGACATCATGGTTAATGTATGAATATTGAACTTGATTCACTCTTTTTTCCACAGGGTATATGGAGTTGCATTCATGGTGTTCACATCGACATGAAGAAAAAGTCATCTGACCTGGACTTCAGTCCACAGTCCAACATGCTTAAGCTTATCAAGTCCGCGAAGCAGATGACTAATATGACCAACCTCAGTGGCTCCAGGATCAACTCTCCTAAACGTGGAGGTGAGTTTATGCATTCGGCGAGCCCCATGATCATGGACATGATGGCAGAGAAAGGGAACTTCATCTACACTGACAATCGTAGCTATGCCCAAAAGGACATCTATGGAGACTCCAGCGACTTACAGGCGTATCTGGCAAACCGCCACAAGGACCATCTGAACAACTACATCTTCCAAGGTCAGCATCCCCTCACCCTCAATGAATCAAACCCTAATACTGTAGAGGTGGCGGTGAGTGCAGACACAGCCCAGACCAATGCAAAACCCCGAGCTCTGTGGAAGAAATCTGTGGATACTTTGCGTCAAACTCAGGGGCCTGATACCCTAGACCCCCGTTTGTCCATGAAGAGTCAGAGGTACCTGCCAGAGGACACGGCACACTCGGATATCTCCGACTGCTCAAGCAGGGCCACCTCCTACAAGGATCCAGACAATAACAAGCACCTGAAGTCCAAGGATAACTTAAAAAAAAGATCGATGACGTCAAAATACCCTAGGGATTCCAGCGAAGTAGAGCTGTCCTACTTAAAAAATAAGCAGGGCGGAGCGGGCCGAGAGAAAATATACACCATAGACTCTGACCGGGAGCTGAGTCTGCACTCAGAGTCACAGCACTACAGGGAAGGCAGAGGCCTGACAACTGACGATTTGGATTTTGGCGAAATTTATTCAGACCACAATGACAATTACAGGAAATGCGACCAGCCCATCATCCATCTCAACAGCAGCCCCCTACATCATAGTGACTCGGACCTTCTGCCGGACAGCGTCTACAACAAACACTACAGCATGAAGGAGAAGAATCTCAGTCCTCACGAAAGCAACGACCGGTTCAAACAGACTCATTGCCGGAGCTGTCTTTCTAAGGTAAACAACTACAGCACTGGGCCTTACGCTGCCCTACGCTCACCGTATAACCGGTGCGAGGCATGCATCCACATGGGCAACCTGTATGACATTAGTGAGGACCAACTGCTGCAGGAGGCTATGATCAGCCCTGGCATGCACCACGATGACACGTTTAGCCACTACTGGCCTCAGACGGATGGGCCACACGTACAGAGGAGGAACAGACTGAGGCTCAGCCGTCAGCACTCCTTTGACAATATCATGCTTGAGAAGCCCAAAGAAATTGACCTGAACCGGCCGGCGCGGAGCGTCAGCCTAAAGGAGAAGGACCGCTTCCTGGAGGACAGCCCTTATGCAAACATGTTTAACATCAAGGCTGACAAACTATTCGGCAGCAGGTCCATGCTCTTTAACCGAAACCTGGAGGAAAGCAAGCGTAGTAAGTCACTTTACCCTGATCACCCCTCGGACAACCCCTTCATGCAATCTATACGGGATGACACTCGCCTGGTCCACGGCAGGAGCTCCTCGGATATTTACAAACAGTTGGCTCCCATCAAAACTAGGAACGAGAACAATCTGAGGTCCTCTGTGAAGTCCACCACTTCATACTGTTCCAGGGATGGTCGAATACCCAATGACATGTACATTTCAGAGCATGTAATGCCTTATGTAGCCAACAAGACTAGTGCATACTCAGCTCCCCGGGTTCTCAACTCTTCGCAGTTTAGCAATAGACGAGTATATAAGAAAATACCTAGTCTCGAGTCAGATGTTTAATGCTTTTTTTGTGTAGTTTAACTATTTACTCACTTAGAATGCCACAGTCACCTACATCTACAAAGTACCCGAGATACCGCTCTTCTTATACGAGAGCTTTCCAGAGGTTTTCAGCATTTTAAGATTCCTTCTGGGCAGGTATCTGCAGAAAGAGAGTTAGTCAAGTGTAAGCCAATAAAATGTGATCCAGCATGGAAGTTGTTAATTATCCCCAACACTCGGCCTAGTGCTAATGTGTGCTCAAAACGTTGAGTGCTAGTGCAGATGTGCCGCTTCAAGTCCGACCTGAAGCTGTGGTGGACTGAAGCAGATCCTAGGGTGGGGTTTCAGGTATTTGGCCCCACGTTGCATGTGACAAGACCGTATATGTATCTGGACTGTGGCTGGAATAGTTCCTGATCTTAAGGCAAGCAAGGGTATTTCATCCATGGCACTCAGCAATTGCATTGTTGCTTTTATTACTATAGACTTGGGATTTTTGGCATTCTAATCCCTATTTAGAATTTAGACTCTTCTCTATCTTATTTGGTAGCACAATAATCATTAGTTAACCGCCCACCTCTGCTTTATAAACAGAACTTCTATATTCCTGTCAGGAATAGATTTCTTTTGCATGTGTGTTTCTTTTCTTGTCTTATTTCGGTTGAAGATATACTTGCATAAAGGTGATTTCGTTCGACAGCTGAGGTGGTCATCTGTGCAATGAAAACTTGATCTGTATGTAGGTTGTTCGACTGGGAATATTGTGTTGATCTTCCATTTCCAGATTGTGGGGAAGTTTTTGCGATGGAAGTTTGTCTCACATTTATTTCGTTCAAAACTTCCATCTGTCACTGTACACTGTGAAACCGAATCAGAGCATCACCTCTCGAAGACTGTTGTTTACTGTAGTTTGGCGGAGCTGTTGCGATCCACTCATTAAGTTTAACGAGGGCCGCTTGTGAAGCTTGAAGTCTGAACTAGAACATTGGTTTTCTGTTGCAGTCTGTAACACGATCAACACCCTATTCGCATTGAGGACTACCACGCAAGACCTTTGTTCTGCAGACCTGTTACTAAACTTTATACTGTACAGACACACTCAATGAACTCCATGCAATGTGAATCAGAACACATAGCCAAATCGTGTATTAGATCAAATACCTCAGGATGGTTCTGTGTCATTTTGTGTAACGTTTTCTCTACACCACCTAAAGGCACATTCACATTGCATTTTGGCATGTTTTCCTCCACTCCACTGTGGTTGTCCGAGGACTTCCACTGCAGTTGCATTTAGAGAGAGGATCTTTCAGCCATCTTTGAAATCAGCTTTTATGTTTACGACTCCAACGTTTGTTGGAAAACAGGATGTGTATCCACATGAACGTGTTGTATGACTGCTCTAGCAGCTTCCGCTCTCATACCAGACTTGCTTTCTTTGTACTTCCTCAATAATGTGACATAATTCACTGTACACTTATTTTGAATATGTCATCACTATCATAATCATGAATACATTCATCATATGAAGTGCTGCTTTAAGAAGCTAATGTGCACATGCACATGTAAAATATCAAAGTCTTGTAATCATATATGCCATACATAGTTTTTACTCTTTGCAACTTGTTTTTCAGTTATTTTTTCACCCTTGTAATAACCCCAGTCTTTAAGGAAAATGTATTTTGATTACATGAACATGAATTATAATAATGGCATGCAACTCAATTGTAACTCTTCCTATGTTTTTGTTATGATGTTATATCACAAATTATTTGTAACAGGGTGCAAATATAGCATATATATGGAAAGAAAATGATCCTTCATATTGCAGAGCTGCTGTTTTGGGGAAAAAAGCAAGGTATTAGCCTCTAGTATTAATCACAGAGCCACATCTGCATTGATTTTGTATCCTTTGTGAGGCGAGGTGAATATCCTTGCTCTTCCTCGATTGGCAGGTGAAAACATCACCAGCTACGCTCTCTGTATCTTACCTGTCACATATAGCCAGACTTAACCTGTAAAGAGAGAGAGAAAAAAGTCCTTTTCAGGTCTGCTATCCCTCCAAAGATATGACGTCTTCTTGATTTTCTCTATTATCTATGGTTTGCTGTAAGAATAGAGCTTTTTTAATTCCTCAAAGACTTAGCAACTATTTTGAATATATGACACTTGTAAATTTGCTTGTAAATTCATACTCAAATAATTCATGAAAGTTACGAAGATACAGAGTAAACAATATTTTTTGTGTGGGTTTCACAGGTCTGTACAGTAGCACTCATTTTCTGTAGCGTACGTACGAAAAATGACATCACTCACAAGTCAAAATGTCACCTTACGAGATTTCAAAGTCTCCATGCAGTTTGTTATCAGGGATTGTAGCCCTGCAGTTTTTTAAGCTTGAAGATTTCGGGGCTGGGGTGCGGGTTGGGGGTTGGGACTACAGGTATTGCGGCAGATTTTTTCCTAAGTAAATACTGTCAATCCACTTGAAGTTGAGCTTGGATCAAGCGTGCCTACAGATCGATGTGAGGAGAACTGGCCTCTTTGGTTCATAGACATGGGCCGTCGTGAGACTGCAGGGTACGAATCCATCCTGCTCATGGACCAAAGCTCTGTGGCCACCCTGGCATGTCGTTCAGGCCGCCAAACTTCTGGGACTTTTACACAGAAACATCTTGAAAACCAAAATGTACTTTTTACATCATCGTTCTGTATTTGTCGAAGGTTATCGGAGGCGGTCGGGTGGAACAGCACAGGTCAGGTATTGATTGCAAATAGATACAGATGAACTGTGTGGAATTATTTTATGTAGCAGTTTTTGGCTAGGCAAAAGCCATCTATAGTTTATTAAAAAATCTATTATATTTTTGGTTTTATTTACCTCTCATAGAATAATACACAAATGTGAATTTAACGTAGCTCAGATGCCGATTATTTCCATAAGACGAGCTAGACTAGGCAAAGTACTGTAGTTCAGTTTCTAAAAGTCAGTAAGCGAGGATTTTTAAGTCAGAAAAAAATTTGTACTTTCTCAATTACACCTTAAACGCTAGTTAAGGGATAATCTGTTTCATCCTTCACGTTTGTTACGCTCCACTTCTTTCAGCAGAGATGTGTGTTTTTGTACATTTATCCATGGATCGTAAAGAGAGGGAGTTTTTGGATCAGCGGCTAAAGGCGCTCAGTCCGTATGCTGAATATTTACACTTTAAAAGTCTTTTCAGATAACAGAGATGCCTCCATCACCACGTGTTTGTCTTTTATAAAAACCCATTAGACTAAAAGATACATACATAAACAATTTTCTTTCCCTTTGAGGCAAGTTTTATGGCTGCATAGGGCAGAATATCAAAAAGCGAAGTAGGGATGTGAGACGTTACTTAACATGACAATGGATCTCCTTCCAAGTCAGTTCTGCATCCACATGGAAGACCATTTGAAATCCGTTGTTTCCCGAAATTATATTTTGCCAAGTGCAGTGTAGTAAGAACAATAGGCCCTTTTGGCTGCCAGGCAAGCTGTTGTACTGTCACTGCATCATTGGCTGTGTTCCCATCGAGGTAGTTTCAAGGAGAAATCACCTCTGCTCAAATTACATCTGCCAGAGCCACACAAGGCACAGTGAGAAGGGGCAGGTGGCTAAAGACAGGAGCGAGAGTCCTCATGCATGACTGTGTCGACTGCAGCTCGCTCCCTTTCATTCTCAGGCCGCTTTATAACCCTCAGGAAGACGTTTGCAGGGGCAAAACTGGCAGCTTGGAAACATAGCGGAAACATCAGTCGTGTGGCTCTTTTAGCATTGCCATTTTTATCATTGCATTACTGATGTGAGGATTATTCAATCACCTTCAGTTTTAAAACCAAACGCTTCTCTTGATTTCTTTAATGCATTTCCAGTGACAGATATTTGAAATGTTTGATTATTTTAATAGGGAATCAAAATAAAGGACAGACAGTGATTTAGTGAGTACCAACCTTAAAGGAGGCAAAAAGTATCTTTTTAAATTCTTTGTTTGGTTGTTTGTTGCACAGAGCTGCTGGAATACTTGCACTTATTAAAGGATAAACGAATGCTGCCTTCCCTGTAAAAATGATTATGATTTTGATCGTATTGGACTCACAATGGAAAGAAACATTTGTTTGAAAAGAACCACTTGTGTTTCCTGTTTAATAATCACTCTTGTGAGCTTTGCATCCATATTTTATGTGGTTAAAAGTAGAGATTATTTTAGAACAGTGTTTTATACTGGGGCGGGTGGGGATTGTCATGTGACTATAACCTATTTATCACTGAAACCATGTGACCTGCTGCCTAAATGTTCTTTTATAATGAAGCATTATCACTTGTGTGCGTACTGAAATGTCTTAAGAACTTTTAATGTAAGTTGAAAGTAATCGCTTAACTAAAGCTGACACAAACTTGCATTAATGAAATCATTTCTGCTATTGGCAAACTGCATGAGAAAGTACTAATTCAGTGGGGCGGTTTGAACATATCTCCTGTTCTCTCTAAAGTACATTTCATTCATTTTTTTATGTGTACATAGATCATATTAAAGGAACAGGTCTGATATGTGACTTGTGAAATGTCAATACAATGTGGTTGCAGGACATGTGCTGGGTTACAAGATGTAAAAACATGTATATAAGTCAAAGTTTCATTTTTCTAATAAAGGCTCTTTCTGCCACTTTATATGATCACTGTATCTGTTGCGGTATGTTTCCGAAGCCCGTGCTCCAGGTGAATGTTGCAGACACCTCGAAAGCTCATGAAACGGGGGTTTGGAAGCTGACTGACAGCTCTGGTAATTCCAAGTGATGATTGGTACATGCCATAATGGCACTCAGGCCTCGAGTCTTCAGCCTGAGCATGTGTGAAACGGGCCGTGACCCAGCAATATTACACGAGTCAAAAAAGCAGCTTTGCTATCAGCAGAAATGAGGCATTATGTGTGCACAATGGAGACGCTCTGTCACAGACAGCGTTGAGAAATAAAAGAGAGATTTATCTCTATAAAAATATATTATATTTTTTCTCAGTTTTGCATCCATCTATTCCATCTATTGAGACAATCCATGTGTTTACGGTATTGTTATCAGTATGCTAAATATCATTAAAACAAGTATGTGAGATATACAGTGCTTCACCAATTTATTAGACCACCACCACCCAGTGTAAGGTTTGTGCCACAGCTGCCCTAAACTAACAGTCTTAGTGATTACCAAAATCATTTTTTGTTTCTGTAATGCTTAATCCACCAGTATGTGTATGCTCTTTAGTCACAGTAGTGTTTTTAATGCATGATGCTATCTATGAATTTTTGAATTGACTGTTTTAGAAAGGCAAAAAAAATAGTAAAGCACTTCATTTTTTTATTCATTCAGTTGCCCAATTACAGTCAATAAATACAGTCTAATAAATTTGTTTGTATGTGCTTAAATTTATGAGACCATCTGTCATAATAAAGAGAAAACATAAATATTTTAGGAATCTGTCTTATTGTCATTTATTAAGCAAATAACTAACTGAAACAACTAAATAGTTGTTTTTTTTCACACATAATAACCGAAAAGCTTAATATTTTGTATAGCCTCCTTTGGTCTTGATAACAACTTTCATTCTTGCTGACATTGTTTTTATGTACTTTTCCACAGTCTCTGTTGTTATTGACTGTAATTGGGCATCTGAATAAAAAATAATAATAAAGTGCTTTACTATATATATATATATATACACACACACACACACACATGCATGGGGGAATATATATAGTATTCATTATATTTCTGATATTATTATTTGTTATAAAAAATTATATATAACATACATAGCGTGTATTTAATGTACATAATAATTTATTTCTCTTTTTATATTGTTATTAATTATTATATTATTTTTTAGAATTAGATGTTATTATTCATATTTATTTATTTATTTTTTTGGATAATATGCTTCTCATAAGTATTATAAATTTTTACTGATCAGGGCTGCGTTTCTCTATAACGATTGATCTTAGAACTTTTTTTTTCATTTACGAGTCATTTACGATCGTTCGTTATTGTTTCATGTGCGTTTCCCAAAAATGCACAACACAATTGCACCTAGCCATGCTTTAATTATAGAATGGCTCGTAATTGTAGTACACGCTTGTTTATTGAGATGTTAACCTAATGCTGCGTTCCAGACAACTCGGATATAATAATATAATATAATACGTACAATATTATACTTTACATAATAATATATAATATACTTTATATATATATATATATATATATATATATATATATAATATCTAGCCTATGTAGAGACATTATTTCCGGGTCCAATACGTTGCTGGTTTTCGTGCAAGTCAGCAAGTCATTGACAGATGTTTTCTCCCCCCTAGTCTTTGAAGTATATTTACTACATTATGTCTTTTATTCAAATTTTTTTTATTCAGTCATTTCATTTAGATGTGTATTTCAATTTTTTTTCTGCCCTTTTTAATTATTTTTCATTTATAAATTCATTTAAAACAACAACAAAAAACGAGTAATAAAGTGTACAATAAAGTACAATCAAATCCTTATATTATAATCACATTGCACTTGAATAAAGTTAAAGGTGCAATCTGCCGATTGTCCTGCAGGTGACCGCATAAATCTGTCTTCTTACGATGCACTTAGGGCTTTACGATTACTCCAGAGCACTCATAGATCTACGATGATTTTCAAGTGCTACTTAAGTTACAATGCTTTTGGGAAACAGACCGTAATATTAAGATCAGTCGTACAATCTTTTTTACGAACTTCTTAGGTTTACGAAGCTTTTTGGAAACGCAGCCCAGGACAAGGAATCACACACACAGAATGAATCATAAAAGTGAATGTTTTAAAAATCTTTAAAAGTGACTTTTTTTCTTACAATTTTAGCAACCACTCATGATTAGAGTAAATGATTCTGACCTGATTAAAGACACCAGCAATGTTGAGAAAATGGTTTCAGTAAATATGTCAGAAATAATTTCAGGCCATTCTACATCAATTTCCGCCTTGCAGCAAAGGTTGCACTGTTGTAGAACTTGATTCTAACCTACGCAACTCTAAACTCTGCCTTTGTTCTGAGGTAATGTACAGTAATATTGATCATATCTGGTATGACTGGGACAAATATTCTTTCGATATCTAAATAGGCTTTGTGTTTTAGAGAGAAGGCGGCACTATCACTTGTCTTTGCTATTTAATGGATCTTTAGGCTTCTGGTGTTCATGGTTGAATACACTGGAACAAAGCACAATAACTTTACTGTCTAAGACTAACAATGACTCCCTCTCACTGGGAGAAAGAAAACAATTGAAGATGTAATCTTTAGGAGATAAACCTGCTCAAAGTAAGTGAATTGTTTTAGCTGGAACTACTTGCAGCATTTCAGCACTAAAGAATTTATAATCATCATTCTGCACATGGTAAGGATGCTAACATTTGAACAAACACAATGGTACCTCTCTAAAACAACTACTCAGCCATGGGATAGTTTCTTATTTTAATCTTACGAGTAATCTCATTATTTTTTACAAAAGAAAGAGAAATGAAAAAAAAGAACACAAAGGAAGACGCCACAGTCGCAAAAAAGGAAATACGCAATGACAGCAAATCTAGGGGCTGGCATCTGTGTGCAATGAGTTACTTGCATGCGGAATGCGCCTTTGTTGCTCACTGAAGGGAAATGAATAAGTTTGCTCAGCTTTGCTCATTTTCAAACACTGGCTAATGTAGGCTCCTGATCTCTCAGCTGTATCTTGTAACGGGCTGCAATTAATCATCACAAGCGTGATGTAGAATGACAGGACTAAACCTGTAATTAATTACTTTACAAACTAGCCAACAAAACCCACTTCCAGAGCATTTACTCTTTGTAGTTGACATGGGCTGACAAAATATAGCATTCTAAGCTAAACACTGTCCTTCTCCCTCCTTTTTTTCTGTTGTGATCCTTCTCTATTCAGCAGAACACATGAAACTCAAAGCGCATGAATCCGAATGACAAATCAGAGATTTTCATGACAAATATATTGTGGTTAAAAATGAACGCCTTGTGACTGTTTCAACTGACCTTACTCTAATGGTGTGTTCAAGTCATGTCCGAAAGATTGTATTTATGAACTGAATGCTACCGCAATGTCAGTTATGAGTGGGAAACTCTGGATTTTCTTTGAGGCCTGAGTTTTAGAGATTGCTAGATTTGTTGAAATGTATGAAATTAATATACAGTATATAAATATTTCATTTACAAAACT